AGAGATTCTATGGAATTTGTTGTGCCCTCTTTTATTAAGTTCTGAATTCAGTCATTGGTCTTAACTTCACTGTTGGTATCCATCTATGGTTATTAATGTTGTTTCTATATTTCTTCTTCACCTCGTTCAATTTTTCTTCCTTCCCCTGCTTCCATATCGTCTGACTTGGGAGCTGGGGAGAATGTGAGATTCTTAATGTATTATTCTGGTAGCAGCTGGTTTTTGACAGGCTTCATTCCCGTGACCGCATTGTCCTAATTCTATTCCTAATAGATCACAAGTCTTAGAATACAGCAATACTCTATGCTGTCGTGTCTGCAGGGCAGCACTTTATGGGAAGCTGGGAAATATCTCAATGTAACATGTGCAGCCAGTGCAGTTACTATCATTAGTTAGCCAGGCAGTTCATGTGCCTCTTTCAGCTGCCTGACCCACATTTCATCCACGCTCTGCTGTTTTTCTCCTGCAGGGTTATTTCCTGAGCAAAGCCCAGGGTTTAGGAGTCCCCCAGCAGAGAGCCCCATTCAGACTGCCCTAAACAGGCAGTTTCACCTGCTGGGCCAGTGTTTTTCTGCTACCTAGTCAATCTGTAAAGATTTTAGCAGGAGATTCCTGGATACCTTTCCAGAAAACATATGGGGGATTGTAATTACTTTGGCCTGCTACAGTTTTAGAATTGAGGGAGAAAGGAAGAGGTGCAAATCTTTCTGTTCGTAAATAGCCAAATCTGTGGGCGTTTACAAAAGCATTCTGTGCAGCATGAGAGAATTTATGTGCCACATTTCACCCTTGGCACACTTTCCAAATGAATTGTTCAAAGGGAAGTTATATTAGGACAAATAGAAATGACGACGGGCACCAGATGTGGATTTTTAGTTAATATTTACGCAACACCCAAAGGGAAGATGGTATTGGGCAATAAACTAAAAATGTCTTAGGCAAATAAGGAAATCTTTGCCCTGCGGAACTGGCACAGCAGAGGTATGAATTATACAACAAAGGACTGAGGATGCAGACCAAATGCAGGGTAGGTCTGGGAGACTATAAAAAGGAATTCATTGAGGAAGTGGTAAGGTAGCAGATGTGTGGAACGTACTAGGGAAAATAAGGGCTTAGCACTTTTCTGGCCAACCTTGTGTCTCAGGTAGAAATCACAAGCCATCCAACCTAATTTCCTTCATCTGTGAGAACAGAAGCTTTAAATAGAGCACATATATTTGAAGCAGTACTCTCATATTGAATATATCTTAAAATACACTAAAGAGCTGTCTCCCCAGGTTCTAAATGATTCCAAAGACAGGTGATGATCTCTTTAATTTGATTTTTTTCCTTGCAGTTATTCAAGGAATTGACTGTTTCTTAGTTTATAGAGAACAATCTGAAAGACACCATGGTTTAAAATACAGGAAGAATATTGAGACACATGTTAAATTATAATAGAAATTTTGCTAAAAGCAATGGGATTTCTCAAACACAATTGGATTTTCAGCCTTCCATGTATAATGGACCACTTTAGGCCTTTGCTCACAGTGTGCTAGGCTTGTCATTCACAGAAGTTGGAATGAGGTAGAGGGAGACAGATGGACAAAGGCAAGATTTAAACTATTGAAGCTGTGGAAATGGTGCTTACAAGCTTCTAGCACTCGGAACCCCAAACTGTCTGGTTATTTTTGTTACCAAGTCTTCTTGCTTATTGAAGAGAGCTATTCAAGTGTTATTTCTCACCTTCACTCTCTCTGAAGAAGTGATAGGCTCTTGAGAAGCCCTGTCCTGTCTTTTTCCTGTCTTCATGCTTCACCATCTTTAACACTGACAACAAATCAGCTTACATGATGCATATGTGTTACTTTGGTTGTTATATAAGCTCCTCTAAGTACCTACAATTGCTCAGTTATTAATTGTTAGCCTCTGGCAATGACTTTCTTCTACATGTCTATGGGTTTGGTGTGAAAACAAGACTGTGAAGATTGCCTCCATCATGATGCTTCTACCCCAGTGGTAATTTCAGAAACTAATATTTATTGTAAAAAAAATAGAATGATGGGGGAGTAATGGGATTGAGGCTTCATGATAAAGTGTGGGCTAGAGAGGATTTTTTCGGCAATAGCATTTGAGCAAAGATTCAATAGTGAGGACCCAGAGACGGTCTAGAGGTCTGGGAAGAGGCACTGAGTGGAAGCAGAGAGTGTAGGAGGGTTCCCCAAAAGAAGGATCCATGTGTTGTTCACAAAGGAGCATGGTGTGAAAGGGGAGAGGCCGTCAAGACCAAATGACATTGTCTAGGAAATTACAGCTTTATAAATGTGCAACCCAACATTTTCAAGCACAGGCAATGGAGCTTGCACATTTCTGCCACAATGCCTCAAGTTAAGACTGGGGAGAAGGAGGAATTTCAGGAGAAGTAGTAAACGGGCCACTTAGGCCATACTGGAGATGAAGATGGCTTCATCTAGGCTAGCAGATAGCAGGAATGAAAAGTGTGCATGTGTTGGGATATTTTAATGATATGCATCTGGAATCTGGTTAACAAGTAAAAGAGGAAACAGTGAGCACTTCTACTTTCCAAGACCCTTGTAAGATGTTTCACATGGTAATTCTAATCACAACACTACCCACCACATAGAGACCATTTTGACTGTTTGGTAGATAAGAAAATTGATACCCAGACAGATAGCACAGGTCACCCAGGAACTGAAGTGCTGATCAGACCCTGGTGTCTTCTTCTGGAACATGTATTCTTCCCTTAGTGTTTTAGGATCCAGTATCAACAATAAAAGCACAGCCAAAAGACACTAAGTATCTTGATGCACCAATTGGTAGGGTTTAAAAACTCTTCACTAATATGCAGAGCATCTGGAGAAATGTAAAAGAAAAAAAATCACTGATTTGAATGGTTTAATGACTTTCTATATATGCTTTCATTTCTACCAGGCACGAAAAATTTCCTTTTAGATAACATATATTTACATTTCATCTGTGTGCTTGTTTACAGTCTTCACAAGGAATCTAGAAACATGCAGCTTTGTTTTGCAGATGCTCAAAACTGTTCAGGTCACTGCCAGCTATCCAGGGGTTTGGATTTCTTGTGGCACTTTGGAGCTTGCTGGTTAAGTGCTTGCCTCTTCCCCTGGGAGCAAGGCAGCCTGGAGGTTTTCCCCATGCCCTACCGTGATTAGGCAGCAGGGGGCACTGCAGTCGTGTTCATCCTGGTCCAAGGGAGCCACGAGTTCAGCCAGGAAGGGGACCAGCCAGGAAAGGAGCTGTGTGGCAGGCAGCCCACAGTCCTCTTTGGTCTTGCAACTTTAGTACTCAGAGCTCGTTCTACCCGGACTAGTCTCCTACACCATATTTCATCATATTGGATGCCTTCCACGCAGTCCCGCATCCGGGCGGAAAAGAAAGGAAGGGCATTAGCTTTCCGCTCTTAAGGGCAGCCCTGTACTGGGTTGTTAATAGTCGTGGGTGCTTCAGGGTCAGCTTGACAGTCTAGAAACCACACAAGGCATCCCATCCCCCCCCACACACACCCCGCAACCACTGCGAGGCGTGTGTGTGTCTTACCTTTTGGAGGTCTTGTGTGTGGAGGATCATTTCTTTTTGAACCCCAGTGCATGGCGGGGACATTTCTCCCACCCACCCATCTTTCTATTGGACACTGTCGACCAAGAGGTAGACTCAGAGTCCAACACCTCTCCTTCCTCACAAGGCCTCCCAAGCTCTCCCCTGCGCCCTTCCTCCTCCTTTTACAGGCTCGTGTCCCGGGCATGCATGCGTGAGTGATGGAGGGCGTATTTGTGGCAAACCTGTCCTCTTTTTTTTTTCGGGTCCAAAGAAGTCTCTCCAGCTGACCAAACTCGTGCCTGGCAGCGTTTGGCACAGAAACACCGGGTTGGAGATCCAGCAGGCCAGCAGATGAGCGCGGGAGAGAGCGAGCGAGGGACCACCTTCTCCTGTCTGCTGTCTCCTCCCGGGGGGGGGGGTCACTGCAGCTGCCCCCTTAGGGCCATCTTCCAGCAATCGTCCTCATCCTGGGGCGCGGCGGGGGCCAGGGGGGGAGGTTGGAGGGGACGGGGGCGGGTGGAGACTTTGAAAATCACGGTGAACGCTAAAGAGGAGGAAGAAGGCGGGAGTCCAATGGGAGAGAGGGTAAAGCCCAGGGAGGGTGGGTGGAGCCTGCAGTCGGTGGGGGGAATGGGAGGAGCGTTTGGGGGAGGAGCTGGGTGGGGAAAGGGGCGTGGCAAGCCCGGGATGGAGGCTGGGCTACGCAGGCGCAGGGGGCCGGATCCAGCACCCCACGCGGGAGCTTCTGGAGTCCCCAGCCACCTCCTCTCACTTCACTGGAGAAGGGGCTGGGACTGGGGCTGGGAGGGAGCTAGTAAACAGTGAATGTGCGGCAGGCAGGCAGGCGGGAGGGCCGGCAGGCAAGGCGGCCCGGGAGTCAGACCTAGGGACCCCGGAGCCGTGCGCCTGGAAGGCAGGCAGTGAGGGGAGGCGGGTCCCCCTGCCCCTCCCACCCGCCCCTCTTTTCTCTCTCTTCCTCAGCTGGTCCCCCCAGACCCCCACCCCACCCCCGTTCTCCAGTCCCCCGGCTCGGCCGGGACCCTGCTGCTGTTCCCCTGTCCGGCACTCTTTCCACCTCCTCGGGAGTCTCACTCCTCACCTAGGGCGCCCCAAACTGCCATGGGTTAGGGTGGGGACCGGCGGCGAGCAGTGCGCGACAGGACCCAGCCCTGAGCATCCACCGGGGCGGAGGGGAGGGGTGGACACGGAGCCCGGTGGACGCCGCTCGCTCGCTCGCTCGCACGTTCGCTCGCGCTCTCACTCCCGGGCGCCCCGGGGCATGGGGTGCGCGCTGTGAACCCCGCACCCGGCTGGGAACCCGCGCCGCCGCCGCCGCCGCCGCGTTTGGAGGAGGCGGAGGAGAGGAGTGGAGGACGGGAAGGAAGGATCCCGAGGGAAGAAGAAGCAGCACGGGAGGGCGCGGAAGCGAGGGAAAAGTGAAGCTGGGAGGGGAAGGCGGCGGAAGGTGGGGGTTGATGCTTCTGTGTTTTGTTGCCGTGGTGGCTGCCCTGGCGCTGGGCGCCCAGCCGGAGGGAAGGCGGTGGAGAGATGATTGCAGAGTTGCTGAGCAGCGCTCTGGGGCTCGCCTTGTATCTCAACACCCTGAGCGCGGATTTCTGCTACGATGACAGGTAAGAGGGAGAGACCCAGTGGTGACGATGACGATGATGATAATGATGATGATGATGATGATGTCCGGCGAGGGGGGACTCCTTGTTGGCTTGGGAGCTTCCCGCTTTGAGACGCCAAGTGAGATCTTGGAGGAGGCACCGCTTCCACACCTGGAGATCTGGGTGGAAAGAAGCGTGAACACCTAAGGCTCATGCCCGAGGACCTGAGCGCACTGGGCGGGCCGGCTAGAGGGAGTTTCCGCTCAAGAGTTAGCTGCAGGCTCTCGCTTGCTTCTCGCCTGCTGGCAGGCGCTTAAGTTTCTTAGCGGAAATCCCAGCAATTTGGAAAACTGTGTAATGAACGTATTATTTTTTTTAAGTCCTAGGTATTCCTTGGTGTCACAAAGCACATTAAACGATTTTAAATCTGGCCTGGAAGGAAGCCTCCACCCTGCTCGCCCCTAGTAGATCTTCCTTGTGTCATTTCCTTTTATTGACAGGACACTTTTATTTCCAGGAGTTGAAACTCACTTTTGACAGTTGCCAAAATGAGAGGGAGGGGGATGTGGCGGGGAGAGAGGAGAGAAAGAGAGAGATGGTAGCTCACTTCAACTTTCCCTTTTGTTATGCTCTCCCTTGGGCAGTGTATGGTACTGGACACTGAGCCCCGATAATGCTGATTGTTATCTCCTGCTTCCCCAAGCCTCCCCTCGCCAATCGATGGGGTAGCACTTTATAACCGCTTTGGTGTTCCTTTCTGCTTGGGAGTTTTGCATCAGACCTCAGTGCTTCTCCTGCTAATTGGGGAAGTAGACGCCCCTAGAGACTGAGGTTGTCTTCTACGTTTGGGTTAGTTTGGGTGGCTTAATGAGACCCAAATTGTGTTGTCAAAGAAACTGCATTGATTCTTGGAAAATGTCAGAGTTGTGCTGGTGTGTCTCTACCTAATTTTTAAACTTTGTTAATGTTTAGAAACTGATGAAAAGCTCCAATAGCCATTAGGGAAAATTCCAATTTGTGCCTTTCCGGTGACTTAATCTGATTACAATTAAAACAGATGCATAATTAAAATATATTAGGGAGAACAGCACGCCTGGCTAAACTTATTAACCGTCCTGGAGTGTTTCATGCTCCATTGAAATTAAACCATCCAAAAAGTGAGCACAGATTTACTTTGACAGCTTTTCAGCACCCTCTCTGGACTATGGAAAGTGAATGGATCCCCAGGGCAGGGGTGAGGCAGTGAGTGAACTTAGGCGAAGTGGTTTATAGTGAGCAGAGGGAAAGGCAGACTCTTCTTCTGGTGCTAATTAGCCATAGACTGTATTCTCTGGTGTGCCCCTCTCCTGCTAAAAGCATGTTCATGGATGCATGCTTTAAATCAGCAAATCTTTCTTCAGACCCACATGTTTGTTATGAAGTTCCTTGGTAATAGGTGCCAGAATATCCTACAAACCCTTGATAATACTTTTTGTTTTTTGTAGTGTCTGCCAGAGGCTAGTTGATAGGAAGACACTGGGTTGTCAGAAAGTTTTCTCTCAACTTTGAAACCATGTACTGATTGTCAGCTTACTGTTATACTACACACTGTAGGAAACCCTCTCTGAGTGTAAGGCTATACCAAGCAGAGTTGCTTCTCTTCCTCCTGTTTTATGTGGTGATGCACCTGCTACTTCCAGGATGTTGATGAATAAAAGCCCTTGTTTCCTCAGATGACTGACTTTTTACAAAATCCAGCTCAGGAAAGAGTTTGGGTGATTGCTGTTTCTTTTGGGGACAGTTGGAATCATAAGCATTGAAACCTTGGAGTTTATAGAGCACTTAGAGTTTATAGAGAATAGAAACACTGTAATACTCTCATTACTGTAGAACACCAACATTTGTATTTGCAGACTATTTGAAATTGTCCTGTTCTTGAAGGAGCTATGCCAAAGAAGGCCTAAACTAACTGTAAAGGGCATGTGCATTTTTCTCCAGGGCTGATGCTTAATTCTGTGATCATGAGTCTGAAATTTGGAATGTTGTCACTTTGAGAGAACGTTGAAGAATGATGATAAATTAGCTGTGCTTTGAACGTTGGCAGTTATTATAAACTCTTCCCATGCTGGAGGTCAAACTGAGTGTTAAAATTCCTGACTGTTATTTCTACCTACATAGATGATTTTAGTGTGATGCTTTGCCCATAGCAAATAGTTGCTTCCATGCTTAGTGTGATCTATAGACCTTATACTACTAAGATGTTGACAGCCTAAAATATGAGTCATGCTTTGCTACAATTAGAAAGCGTATTTTGTTTGGATTTTGTAGCAGAACTGCATATGCAAATGCATACTCTTATAAAAATGAAGTTTGCTGCTCTAAAGATTTGGCATTTTTTAAGAATCTTTAGAGCAGCAAACTTCATTTTTATGTATCCTAGGATTTAGGGAATGCATATTAATGTAGGCTGAAGGTATTTATTGTATGCACAGCATGTTAAAATGATTCATTGCTGAGGTGCACTGCAAACTGGCTTTTCAAATCTATTTTCTACCTAACTACTGTAACTCAGTGGTGTGTGAAAGGGGAAGCGAGCTGGAAACTGTAGGATGATGATAATGTGTTTATTTCCACTACTCTATTTCAGACTGCAAAGATTCACATTTAAAACGTTGCTTATATTACATCTGTGGATACTGCCACCCGCCAGGAACTTTCCTGAAATACAACTGTGTAAGGAGAGGCCAGTGTTGGAAGTATACAGTGCATGGTATTGAAGGAGAGAAAGATGGTTTTAATGCCCAACTTGTCTAACTAAATCAAGACTGCATTTTTTTAGCCTGTGGCATACTTTAGTAGGGCTTTATATTGCTTTAGTTTAAGCATTATTGCTGTGGTACTTCTCAAAGTTATCATTGCTTTTAAATATAGTGATCAAGTTTACTTTATAAACGATATGTATAATTACGTTCAATGTTTGATGTAGCTTGGGTTGAAATTAAGTGGTAACGTGAAACTTTCTTAAAGCAAAATCAATTTCCCTATGGTAAAACTTAATATTTTACAAGTGTTTCTGTGCTAGACTTAAGAATATGCCTACATGTGTTGGAACAAACAGTACAAGTGTAGAATTGGCAGTATCTGATGAGAGAGTATATATGATATCATCCTTATCCTCCCCTTCCTTGCCTTCAATATAGTTTAATAACTATATGGATTCTTAAGTTGTGGCTACAATAAAATTGGAATTACAAATATGCAATCCTTGCCAAATTTTAAGTTGAAACTTAAAATCGTGCCTGACTTCTTGAGTGATCCTGTCATTTTGTGGAGGAATTTGGTGTTTAGGTCATTGGAAGATACTTACTGACAGGCCTCTGTGTCTTTTATGCATTTATTGAAGATGTTTGCACATCATGTCTCTTCATTCTTCAGTGATATTGTTCTAAGGTTCTCACAGAAAACACTTTGAGAGAAGATCTTAAGTGTGAAACAGATGTGAGCTATGTACAGTTTGGGGGTCTGATTTCATTTTGCACATATCATGTAGTGGATGATGTTCCCTTTTTGACTTAGTGATATGTAAATGAGAATGTTTTCACTCTCCTGTGAGTAAAATAATTGGTGAAATTGGTAAAATAGTTGGTAAAATTCCATTTGAGTTTTTGATATTGGATCATATTTCTGTGGCTCCTTCTGAGTATTTTTAGTATTTTTGTCTCTGGTGTCTATTTTGTACTTGTTAAACTCAGTTCAAATTATAGGTGTTGACCTATATATATATATATATATATATATATATATGATTTCTTAACTTTTTTCTCAAATGTCTAATAGATTTGCCTTGAATCCGTCTGGAATTGTTATCTTAAAATTCCAATCTGTTTAACCACTGAAGGTGGTTCTTGAGATTCAGCAAGTGCATGTATAGAAAAATTACTGTTTTTCTTTTTTTTTTTAAGTGCGATTTGTAGCTCTATATCAAAAATCACTTTATCAGCTCATTATTAGGAAAAGTCGAAGTGGACAAGTTTGTTTTGCCTTCATTTTCTTACCTAGTTTGTAATATGCCAAATAACACGCAGAGATAACTTATAGTATATGAACTTTTTAGTTTTTTAAAAAATTGGTATATAGGAGTTGCACAAAAGAGAGAGAGAGTCATTGTGACATTGCAATACAGACATACAATGTACCACATTCATGCCTCCATTTCTCTCCTTCCTCCTTCTCTCCATACTTTTCAACATTGTCCTATTTTTGTTCTTGGCATCTGAAGGTCTTATGAGCTTTTTATATGGAATTTTTTTCTAGCTATGTTTTGGTTATTTACACAAGTCAATTTGGAAATGGTCTGTTTTGTTCTTTTGGACAAGTGTGTCTTATTGGTGAGTTATAATTACAATTGGGTACAGTCAGTATGCAGTAAAGCTTTGCTTTACTTCCATTGAGTCCATCACATGGCATTTATCACAGCAAATGACCCAAATACAGGCACTGAACGGACATGTACAAATGCCAAAGGGAAAATTGCTTGCCAACCATCTGTCTCTTAGTTGTGTTCAGACACACACATGCATGCATGTGCACACACAGTTATTAATTTATATTGGTTACTGTGTGGGCTGTTATCTTGTCATCTGCACTTACTTTCTCAGAGCTAATGTGCCCCAGTGGTAGCAGTGAATTCTTTGCTGCTATAATTCTGAAATAGCTACAACCTTTTGGCTTCCAACCTGAGTGAGGCGCAGAGTTGGTATTCCTAATCTCTTTGTTACTACAGCTAGGCACATTAAAAGCACTTGTTCCAAATGCCTGGGAGACTGCAGCTGTTTATCGAAGGCTAAGGATACATTATCTCTGTCACAGGAATTTTCATAATATGAGGCAAAGACAGAGTTTAGCCTTCAGGCGTTCTGGAAAATCTTTGGCTGACAAATCTGCATCTTCCTAATCTTACTATTCCTTCCCCTAAGTTCTTTAAGCTATTCTACCATTCATCTTTTAAACTTTTTGGTTCATTCTTGGTAGTTAGGTATTGG